GCCTTTGCTGCTGTTGCTACATATAATGCCACTTGCTGTATTACAGAAGAGTCAAAACCTGCCAGCAAGAGGCAAATAATTTCAGACCTATGTCTCTGTAGCTTATCAAGGACTGCAAATACGGGGACATTCCATTATACAATTTCACCATGAGGAAGCAGTGAGAAAACCCTGTACAATAGACTGGTACAGTGAGCACCAGCCCTGCAGTGAGTCTGCCAAGGCTATAAAATGTCTGGGAAATCAAAAAGTATCCTGGGAAGAACAGAGACAGAACACAACTATTTTGTCACCAGGTAAACTACAAAAACCAGAAAGCTAATGTGGTGAAGCGGTTAAGACTGGCTCCAGAGAGATTGAGGTTCTAGTCTCTTCTTAGTCATGGAAGTTCCCTAGGTCAGGGTTCCTCAACCTCAGCAACTTTAATTCCCCATGCTGGCTGGGGAATTCTGGGAGTTGAAGTCCACCCATCTTAAAGTTGCTAAGGTTGAGGAACCCTGTCCTAGGTGACTTTGGGTCAGACACATGATTTCAACTCAATCTACTTCTCAGAGTCGTTGTGGGAAAAAACAGGAGGAAAGAGTCTGGCCTGGATTCCTGAACCGAAATCGAGCTCAACTCAAGAGAGATTTTACCTTTCTATTAGCATTATGTTTATACCCCACAGTGGTAATGAGGAATTCTGGGCAAAGTTTTCCCCTTAACAAACAACAGTGAAGATGGGCAGGGAACACTGAATAGAGAAGGGATTCTCACTATCTCCATACAACTACTGATTACAACTTGTTAAGGGGAGACCTATCAAGAGGGTGTTATTGCACTCCAAAGCAAATTTGCCCATGTAGTCACCGGGAGTTGAGTATAGCTCGATTTTTAATTTTTTTTTTATCCCGCCTTTATTATTTTTATAAATAACTCAAGGTGGCGAACATACCTACTACTCTTTCCTCCTCCTATGTTCCCCACAGCAACAACCCTGTGAGGTGAGTTGGGCTCAGAGACAGTGACTGGCCCAAAGTCACCCAGCTGGCTTTCATGCCTAAAGTGGGATTAGAACTCCCAGTTTCCTGCTTTCTAGCCTGGCGCCTTCACCACTAGACCAAACTGGCTCTCAGGTTTTCTTAATGAAAACACTGGATACGATACGATTCAAGCAATTCCCAAATCTAACACAAACAGAAGTGTAATTTAACAGTTTCAAACGAACAACTTAGAAACTAAGGGCAGAGGATGGGGTGGAGTACAAGCAGCTTTGGCTTTGTTTCCCTGAAAAACAGTGTCAAAATGGGGAGGTGATTCTCCATGTGCTAAGAATATGGTAATAAGGCAAATAAGTTGCTTCTGATTATTATTTTTTTTAAGATGGAGCACTTTTAGATGAGCTTCCTTTGGGATAATTATAATTCTTGATTAACGTGACTATTTTGTATAAGACACAGTGTTAAAGCTCAATGATGGGAATATTATATAAATATCTGCAATGCGCTATAAAGAAGTGGTGAGCTTTACAAACTTTCTATAGGGTTTGGAATCCTGCTGGCAACTCCACTGTTCTCGTCCTCATCCCACAAAGTTCTTTACTTTGTATATATCCACAGACTGTTCTTTACAAACTGGAAGTGCTTTTGAAAGACCCAGAAAGGTTTGAAAAGTAGGTTCTGTCTTTTAGCCTTTTAGTAAGGAGAAGGAGGATACAAAAAGCAGAATGAAAGAGTATCAGATCAGCACATCACATGAGGGCATTCTGCTTTTCAAGGGGGAAAAAGATTCTAAGCATTGAGATGGAACAACGACAGTATTAACAATGAAGCTCGTGGCTCCGAAGTCAGCTATTTGTCTGGGTTTAAAAATGTTCATGTTCACGCACTGCATTTAAGACATGGAAAAAACAAAAAAGGGGGAGAGACCACAGGGTTACATATTGTGATTTTATCATGCATGAGTTTTTGACAAGTTCTTTTAGGGCAGGAGTGAGGGTTGAAAGAACATGGGACTGTGGCCAAAAACGGTAAGTCAAATTCCAGTCTAGGAAGCCGCCTTTGGTCGAACAAACACATTAACATGAACCAGCAGTTACATTTTTAGGGTGAAATTTCCCCCTATCCAGAGATGATGGGCATTGAAACTGGGACTTTTCACATGAAAAATATATGAGTGGACCATATTTCTGCACCAGATCGTGAACTGCTACTAGAATGAAAAGGAAACATACACTGGAACATATCTCAGATTATGGAGCTCACTGAGCCAAAGGCAGAAAGAGATAGAGGAATTCAGTACATGCCTACTATTTCTGCAGAAGCCTTCTGAATCTCAGCACACTCTTCCACTGTTTTCTTGCTCAACAGAGCGACAAGATATTTTAAAATTACCAGCAACCTGTTGAATATCAAAAATATCCATAACCTCCTCCAAAATTGGCTTTGGGCATGCATTATTAAGAATAGGTAACCATTCTTCCTGCAAAGCATCTGAGCACTATATGTCTATCTGAAGATGCACAGATTCTGACGTTTCGTGAGTTAAGAAAAACCAGAAATGTAAGAAAACAGAGTTCTTCAACGTTTTATTGTTGTGTGGAAGAGGGCATATCCAATGAGAGTTTACTGTAACCCGACATATTATCTTACCTGTCTAGAGTTCCCCTTTAAAGAATCTTCTGGTCCTTAATTTCTGCTCTATACCCCAGTATGATAACACCTCAGTTTGTGTTGTGGGGAAATTAAAATGACAGTCACCCATTCAGAGATCAATAACTGGAAAGGATCAAATAAAGAAGATCTCCTCAAGTCTGGAGCCAAGAGATACATATAGCAGTCACGTATGGATGAGAATCGTCCCTCTGTATGTGTTACATTAAGGGCAGATGACAACTTTTTATTCTGCATGGGGCTGCAATCTTTGGAGGATCTTCAGAGCTTCATGGATGGTACAATCTCTATTCTCCCAATAATGCCCCCTCTCTTTTCCTCCTGACTCCTTGTTCTTTCTCACAAGTAGCAAGCTGCATAGAATGGATAGACAACTTTTATCACACAGCTTGATGTCCTCAAGTCAAGTTAGATTCCAGGTGACTTGTTCAACCATGCCATTTTTCTTTGCAATGGCATGGAAGTGGTTTGCAATCCATTCATAGGGCTTTTGAAAATAAACCAAAGTCTTTATTTGCCCACCCTTCTATTATTCCTAAGGACATCTAGGGAAGCCCTTAAAGTCTTCAAACCAAAGTTCAGAGGATAGTTATAAAATTGAGGGCTTTTTCAAAATGGCCCCTAATAATGGAATGGTCTCCTAAAAAAGGCTTGTCTGTATTTATTTCTATGACGTTTTGCAAGAGTTTTTGATTTTTATTTCTTAATGGATTTCCATTCCAAGAAGTACCGATGGTCGTTTTTTTGTATAAGATACCTACTATAATAGTTTTAGCTCTAGCTGCCTTCAGCATGTGTTTTAAAAGAATTTGTTTGTTGTATTTTTAGGTACTCTGTTTCTTCTGATTTTACAATTACTACAGTAGTAGTAGTGGTGGTAGAATTTTTATAAAGTAAGTAATCAGTATAAGTCTCAACAGATGGCAGCACCTAACCAACCTTGGCTGGTTTCAACAAGAACTAAGCAGAGTTGGTATTGGTTAATACTTGAATGGAAGATCACAAGACAACTGCAGAGCTGTAGGCTAGACAGAGAAGTTGAATAAATATCATGGATGAAAGCAAAAGCAAACCATTTCTATTCTGTGGCCGAGACAACTACATGGACATGTCCATGCAATTTCCAGGACTCAAATTCTTCTCGAAGGAGACCTCACTTGAAATCAATCTAAAATACATTTATTCTCCACGCATGTATTAAGAAGGGCCGAACCCTGTTTTCCCCAGCGTTTGATCTCTGAATGTCAACCCAACATTTTTACAACATACAAAATTGGCTCCATCTATAAGACTGTGCTCCTGCACTCTGAAGATGCCGGTCACAGGTGCTGGCGAAAAGTTAGGAAACAAACCTCCCAGAACCGGCCCCCACCCCCCGAAAGCCCCCCACCAGCCACCGCATGCCAGCCGTGAAAGCCTTCGACAATACATTGCACCTTTTTTCTTAATTCCAAATCT